CTTAAGAATGTGCTGACGCTTGCACTTTTTTCTATTTCTTGTCTTACGAAAGTTTCTTCAGGTGTTATATTCATACTATCTATAGACTGCCTGATTTTATCCTAACACTGCATAAATCTTGATGTGAATGACTCTAAACCTTCATTTTTGCTCATTATACATGAATCGCGAGCCCTTTGAAGTGATTCTAAACTATCCTTTTCTCCAAATAAAATTCGTAATCTTTCAAAAAAATCAGCAAATGTTTTAACTGCATCGGCTCTAATTGTGTTTGCCGCTTTTCCTACTAATTTTTATGCAATTATTGCATGAAGTCTTTCATTTCTTTTTGTTTTCTTTTTTGACAATCTTATTAAATGAATGAAGTTTTCTAAACCGCTCCCGTTAAATTCTGGTATTAATTTTATACTTTTTCCAAAATCATATTCTGTTACTTCTTCTAATTCTTCATGATCACTGTTTAATTCATTCTCATTTAAGGGTAAACCTTCCTCTCTTCTAACTGGTTGTTCCATAGCTAACAATCTTGTTTCAAATCTTTCCAATTTTGCAAGAATTGTTTGAAAAAGGTCATTTGAACTTGTTGATGTTTCTGGCATGATTTTTAGAATATTGTCTAATTTAAGTCTGTCAGTCAGTGATATTGAAGGGGATAAACTGTCTGTGTCTATAGTTTCGTTTTCCCTACTTTCTCTAAATGAATTTAAATCCAGTTTGATTTAATAAATTTCCTATATCGTTTCGTACAATTTTATTTTATAACCGTTCGCGTTTTCTAATTTAAAATTTCATTTCTTGCAATCCTGCTACAAGGAGTACACAAGAATATGAAATTTGTTTTTTTTGTTTATTGACGATGGAAATACTGATAAAATCACGGAGTATACCAACGCTTTAAAACAAACTTAGCCACACCCTATGAAGGTCGCCGTTCAACGTACGTAAAGTGGACTTATACTCTTGTTCTAAAGATTCGTAGTTTTGTTTTATATACCTTACTTCAATGTTGCTTTTGAATGTTGGTCTGGATCGTAGTACTGGAAAATCTCGAATTCTGTTTCGTATACTTGGATAACTCTCTGGATACCTCTCTGTAGACCTGGATATCTGTATCGCTGCTTGGCTAACACTCTGGATAACACTTCGTAGATATGGATATCTGGATCGCTGCTTGGTTAACACTCTGGATAACACTTCGTAGAACTGGTTAACTCTCTGGATACGTCTTTGTAGATCTGGATAACTCTCTGGATATCTCTTTTGTTGATTCTCTCGTTGTTTTTGAATTATCACTTTGTTTATCCGGAACTAGTTCTTGGTTCTGGATATTTAAAACTTGAATGAACTTCCAAATAATTTTAAATATTTCACCGCTGCCACCAATTATGTTGTCGCCGTAAGAAACAACTAATAATATTATTTTTGTGAGTTGGTTACTCAACTGAGAACAAACTCTACTTTATTTATTTAACAAGCAAAGTACAAAAACTTGGAGATAATCAATCCTTCCAAAGCTTCACTGAGTCTTTTTGGAAGACAATTTACTAACCGTGCTATCACTTTGAGTAGCGACTAATTAATCTGACCACACCTGCTTATGCATTAGTTTTAAAGGACTGTGCAATAGTCCGCACTCTTTACAATACACACTCATACTTCATACTGTCGACAGGTTATATTAAATTAAAAATTTTTTTTTGAATGGTACACAAAGTATAGAAAAAAAACACTATAATTTTATTAAAATATTTAAAAAAACATTATTTTCTATCATAATATATTATAATATAATATTAATTAAAAAAAACTATTAACTTTTTCAAAATTAAATTAAACTAAATTAAAATTTTTTTTCCCAATTAAACAATACTTATATAAAAAAGTAATACTGAAAAAAAATATAAAAATATGAATGCAAGAAAAGAAAAGGTTAAAAGACGACAATTCAAAAACATTGACTCAGCGAAAACATGTGTAACATGACACTCGCACTCGCCAGTCATTTAAAAAAAAACAGACACACACATAGCGAAAATTACACCAGAACACTACACCAAACAATTAAATTAAAAAGAAAAATAATAGACAATAACAATATTAAATACAATCGAAAAACAAGCACAATTGAAAAGTGACACGCGCGCGGTAATGAAACTAATGAATGAATGTCAAACAAGAGCGCGGGACAAAACACGAGGGGAAAACAGTACACGGAGGAACCGAAAGATGTGGACACTCATACGTAAAACGCAAACCTCAATGACGACTCCAAACATTCCAAAACTAATACCTATATCGAAAATTTAAATAATAATAATATGATAAAATAAATAATAGACAGCCCGTAAAAAAGGAGGGGGGTATGAAATACCACATTTATAAATTTTTTCTGGTATTTCACATAAAAATAAATTTTTATTGTATTTTTTTTCTCCCAATATTTTTTTTCTTTTTAAATATTGAGACGTCTAAAAATTAAAAAAAAACATATTTCAGTTAATATATTAAATTTTGTACACAGAAAACAAACACTTGATAAACATTACAAGAAATGCCTTTAGAATCTTTTAGAGATGTCCAAATAATTAAATATTATTATAATAAAACTTGTAGTCCGTCACAGCAAAAGTTTAGACCTCCTGTGGAGATAATTAGACCTCCTGTGGAGATATTTCTCACCCTCCTGCTGTGATAGACAATACTCTATTGTATTTAATTATATTGTAATATAATGTATTTTATTACTTTATTTATAACAGATTTTAGCCTTCTCTTGCTACCTGTACAATGATAAACAGAAAATATTCATATTGTGGTAAATTCTGTATAACATAATATTTTTAATAAAATTATAATCAATAATTTTTTTATTTTAATAATAATAAAGAGTAATAAGAAATATCTCCACAGGCAAGAGAAGGCTAAAATTTGTTATAAATAAAGTAATAAAATTAATAATAGTACAATACAAATAATCTACACGTGAAAATGCATTCAGCTCAGTTGCTTTTTGCCTACCTTACGTAATTTTTTACGTTTAAAAAAGTTTTGCATTTTTGTTTCTAATAATGATAAATCACTAAACAAAGACTTTTTTTAAGGTTATATCCTATAGTTTTAGAATATTCGAAGAGTAATTTAAAAAAAAAATTTCTTAATTACTCTTATTACTAAACAAAATTTTCAATTTTTTTGGTAAATTTATAATTAAATATTTTTTTTTTAAATTAATAACATATTTTAATTGCACAAATATCATTTGAAAGGTAATTTTATCACCTTTAAAAAGCTGTTTTAAAAATTGTGATGCGATCACAATATTTAGAAGTTTTAAAAAAATTGTTTTTTACTATTTTTTTATAATACAGTAAAATAAATTTTTTTTAAATTCTACTTATTTTTTTATAATTTTCTAGACATAAAAAAGTAACAATGTTTTCTTGAACAAATTTTTTTAAAAAACAACCGCTATCGACTGATTATTAATTAAAAAAAGGATGTTTTTTAAACAATTTGTTATAAATTATCGTATCACAATTTTAAAAATAATAAGTTGTTTAATACATTTTTTATTGAAGAATAGAATTCAAACAAATCATTTTTGTATTCTTTAGTTTAATATAATTATTTTACAGAAGATCACAATTGTAAATAATACTGTTGTTTATAAAAATTTCTTTGTAGGACATTGAAATAAAATTATATTTTTATACCTTAAATTTTTATACCCTTCTTGAAAAAAAAAATATATATATAAAAAATATAAAAAAATATAGTGATTTTTAAAGCATTTTTCATGTACTTCTCAATAATGTAGAAGAAAATTAAAAAAAAAAATTTCACCCCTTTTTTTGCAAAATCAACCCTTATTTTTCGGTTTTCACCCCTTCGAGTATTTTAATTAATTTTTCTTTTTTTATTTTCAATGGAAAGCTGAGGTTTTTTTCAGTGCGCTACGTAAATATAAAAGTGGGACCAAAATAAGTTTGTGAGAAACAAAATATCAAAGTAGGCGGTGCGCCCGCGCAATCGACGCAGAGGACCTTGTCGTGTTTAATTTGATTATTAAAACCATACATTTTAAGCTTTATTTTAAGAAGTAAAAAAAAATAATAAAAATAATAATAATTAATTTAACATTTTTTGAATTTAAAAATTCATTGCAATTGACATTGCAAGAAGTATTTGTTGATTATTCCTTAATGCAATGAATAAGATTTTATTATATAGTAACATAATTTTAAATAAATAAACAAATTTTAGTAAAAAAGTGAATTTTTTAGATTTAATTGTGATATTTTCAATAAAATTTATACTTTATATAATAGACCAATCGATTCGTCTTGATGCAAAGAATAAGATTTTATCATATATTGACTTTAATATCCAACAAAAAAAATTTTTTTTGTAAAAAATAAATTTTTTGGTAAAAGTCAAAAAAAATTTTTTTTAAGATTTTCAAAAATCCTCTCAACAGTTTTGAGATAATAATATGGTAAATATACCCAGGAATTTTTACCCAAATTTGTTAATATCTCTTTGTGTTATTGTGTTCACAAAAAACGGGATCCACACACACATATATACACACATACATACATGCGGACAATTGATTATTGCGTATTATTCGATATCACTTAACTATAGATAGATAAAGAATTATTAAAAAAAAATTCAATATGTTCGAATTTGTAAATCTATATAGTTTTGTTGGAAAATAATCATATTTTTCAAATAAAAATAAAAAATAATTCCAAAAAATAAAGTTAACTAATTTTATTTCAAAAAAATTAGCCCTATTTTTCAAAAAAATGAAACCATATAGTTAATAGTTAAATATGTACTTAACAATATATATAATTTATTTTTTAATTTATTTTATTCTGTTCTTGAAAAAAATCTTAAAAATGGGTTTCTTAAAAAAAATGTTTGCATTAATCATTTATTAATTATCAACATATATTTTTTTAATATTGTTAGTTAATATTTGTCCATATGCTTAATAATTGTTAAACTTTTGATTATTAATACTATTAATTAGTCAACATCCTCCTTGCCCATTTGTCCATCGTTTGTCTGTTTCAGCTCACGGACTGCTGTTACTATTTGCTGTAGCGGAAGTGGATCAACATCTACAACTTCAATATCTGTCTCCGATTGTAATTGTAAAAAGAATCTAGACCCTAAAAAAAATTAATAAATTAAATAAATAAATAGATTAGTGAGATTTTTATTAATATCACCTTGTGACCGAACTTTTCCAGTTATGTAAATTGCATCACATTTTTTGCATGTGAGTGTGTTGTTAAATGAAGCTATTCGGACTTCTAATTTGTGGATTCCATTTGTCACCGATCCACAGCCGTAAGTTCCAATATTGCGATTTATTCCTACTGCTTGAAATACAAAGTTGCATTTCACATATGCAAAGAGTTCTGCAATTAATAAAAAAGATATAACAAAAAATTCTATATTTGAATCTATGCCTCTTTTCGGGAAAAAGCATCTTAAATTTTAACTTAATATAATTCTATCTTAAAAAGAAGTACAGTATGATGCACGGAAAGAATTTCGAGACATCACATGCGCTGCCTACCACGCATCACTTGCGCTTAAGTTATACATGTGTGATGTGCATTTTTGAGAAATAGACTATGAAAATTCTTTTCATATGTAAACTCACAAAATTATGAAAGATAATTTTGTATCACTTTTGAATTCAAAATAATATATTTAATTTGTTCTTAAGATGGAATTATATTAAGTTAACATTTAAAAAAGGATTTTTAAGAAAGGAGGCGTCGAAATAGAAAAATTAATAGAGTATATATGTGATATGGACAGTGAAAAAAGACTTTATACGTCCGAAAAAATTGATTTTTTATTAATTGGTGATTCTGATAGGGAACAATTTTTTCTATCAGAATCACCAATAAATAACAAATTATTTTTTTCGGACGTAAAGTCCTTTTTAACTGTCGAGGTCACATATGTAGACTAAATATTTCTAATTAAATAAATTAAATAAAAACATTAAGTTATATGTGCGATTTCACGTGAGATTTAACTATGACATTTTAAATTCGGTAAATATATATTTTTTCGATCTTCATAAAAAAAAGGTTTACGTATTTTTTTGTTTTTTTATAAGTGCTAAAATTTTTGAGTTATGAATTTTTAAAAATACACATAATTTCAATGACATCTAACTCCAAAAGTATTGAATTTAGAAATTATCATAAAGATACAAAAAAGCTTCAATTTTTCATCGTCTTTTAAAAGATGTAAGCGAAAAAAAAATGTTAAATTTGTTTAAAAAAACTGCGATTTTTTATAAAGAAATTAAATTTTTTTAAATTTAGGCGCGCTTTTTAAATAGTTTTTTTAATCTTACACCCCTCACAACAAAAGGATATTCAGGATATCCTTGGAACGTCCTGGGGATATCGATTTGTTTTCGGCGGTTTGGATATCCCTGGGATATCTTAGAGATGTCCATGGATATCCAGAGGATATCTTAGGGATATCCGAATCGCCAAAAGCAAATGGATATCCCCAGGACGTCCCAGGGATATCCTGAATATCCTTGTGTTGTGAGGGACACATCAAAATAATAAGATAATTATCGTAATATGTTTTGAAATGGGCCTGATGATCCTTTCGTTTTTTATAATTTGTTTAAAAAAAATTTTTTCTTTTTTTTTAATTTTTCAAAAGGGAAAAGTGTTTTGGGTAGTAGGATCTTTTAGTAAACTCATAGAAAAGTAAATTAAAATATATTTTATTTAGAATAATAAAAAAAACGAAAAAAAATAAAAAATTTTTTAAACAAATTATATAAACAAAAGTATCATCAGGCCCACTTCAAAACATAGTACAAAATTTTCTTATTATTTTCATGTGTGTAAAAATAAAAAAATACAAAATCGTGCCTAAATTTAACCCCTTAACAGTCCATGGCCCATATATGTCGAGAAAAAAGTCGTGCAACGTTTGTGAGTTTGGACATATATGTCCATTTTGAATTTTCAAATTAGACATCAAATTTGGATTCAGTGACCCCAAAAAAATTTAATATGATGATATGAAATATAAAAAAAAAAATTTTTTGGACCGTTTTGGGCCCACAAACGATTTTTCTACTAGACTGCGAAGGGGTTAAAGAAATTTAATTTATTTATAAAAAATCGCTGTTTTTTATAAACAACTATAAAAATTTTATTATCGTTAACATATTTTGAAAGTCGATGGAAAATTGAAGCTTTTTTGTATTTTGGTGATAATTCCTAAATTTAATACTTTTAAAGTTAGATGTCATTAAAATTATGTGTATTTTTTTAAAAAAACTCGAAAAAATCATATTTTTAAAAATTCATAACTCGAAAATTTGAGCACTTATATAAAAAAAATTCTTTTATATTATTATTCGCATACTTGGTTAATTAATAATTATTTATTATTTTTAACTAATAAACAATTGAAAAACAAGTAAAAATGACAAATTTTTTGTTTAATTCAGAGACCCCAAAAACTCTCAAAATACTAAGTTTCATAAAAATTTGTTGGACGTTTTGGGACTACATTATCATTTTTTTAACAGTGAAGGGGTTAATAAAAAAAATTGTTTCTTACTGATCATTTCATTTTCATGATGTATAATATCATCTATGCCAACTTCCAAAATTTGGTCAGGGTCGTTATCCTCATTAAGATGTGTACCTACTTCTGTTATTACTGAGGAAGAAAAAAATTGTAATTCAAAGCTTACATTGCCTTTATTAAATTCCTGTTTTGTTGGCACACGGGCACAGCCACCATCAATATGTAAAATCTGAATTATAAAATTATTAAAAATTTTACTTTTTCTTAGTAAGGGGTTACGCCACCCTGAACGTCTGAAAATTGAACGTTATTTCAAAAATAAATTTTTGACAAAACTATAAAAAATACAACTTTTTAATAATTATAGTTTAAAAATACATGTATTTAATTTTTAAAAAAAAATTTTAATTGAAAGATTTTTTTAAGTTAAATACATGTATTTTTAAACTATAATTATTAAAAAGTTGTATTTTTTATAGTTTTATCAAAATGCATTTTTGAAATATCGTTTAATTTTCAGGCGTTCAGGGTGGCGTAACCCCTGAATTTGAATAATTTATTCTTACTTTTTTTATATTTATAATATTATTGCTCACCTTATTTAACGTAATATATTTTGACAATGAGTTTATGTCTTCAGTGCCCCATATTACGCATTGAATTTTTCTTCCGTTGTCGTTGCTTAAGAAAAACTTAAGCAACTCCATTTTTCCCGTCATTCTTCGTGGAAGAACGGTTTCCACGAAACGAACTATTTCTCTAAAAGAAACAGATTTAAATTTTATCATATTTATAAAAGTTATTATATTATTATAGATTGTAGAAAAAAAATAATGAAACCAAATTTCATGAAGTTTTAATGTACACAAATTTTTTTTAATACTTACACTGCTTTATCCCAAAATTCTATGGCATCAATGGCCTCATTTGTCGAAAAGTCAATCATAATTTTTCTGAAAAATTCCATTAAATCATTTATGAAACATCGGTTTTTATAATATGAAAATAAATATTATTTATAATTGTAAAGATAAATATTATAAATTATGCTACCAGAACCATTTAAAAAAATGAGGAGTAAAATTTCAAACCTTTAAATTTCAGTTATTCAGGGATAAGAAATTTCTTCGAAATATTTTTGGAACCATTGATAACAATCCTTCAACTTATTTTCTATTATTTAACATTTTTTTTATAAATTATATTTGTTAAATTTCAAATAAAATAATTAATAAAAATAATTTAAGTTTTTTTAATAAATGTAAGAATTTTTTTTATTAAAATATTGAATATTATAATACATATTAACAAACTATAATAATGTTTCAGTATTAAAAATAATTCATATATTATTTATTGAATATACGCATGTATATGAGGTATTCTTTTTCAATCACCCCAGCCTAAAAAGTGAAAGTTCTGGGATTGGGTTGATACTTTGGTAAATTGTTGTCCTACATGAAAGTAATAAATCCCTAAAATATTAACTCAAAAAGAAAAAAAAATTGTAAAACGTAGAGCGGGTTGAAGTTTTGACGTTTTGGGTAACATTTTTGTTTTTAAATCTGTATAACTATGACGAAACTTAATGGATTTTAATTTATATACCGCATACTTTGGTATTATGTTTCTCACAAAAATATTTTTGTCCCACTTTTATATTTACGTAGCGCACTGGAAAAAATCTCAGCTTTCCAATGAAAATAAAAAAAGAAAAATTAAAATAACCGAAGGGGTGAAAAGCGAAAAATAAGGGTTCATTTTGCAAAAAAAAGGGTAAATTTTTTTTTTTAATTTTCGTCTACATTATTAAAAAGTACGTGAAAAATTCTTTAAAAATCACTATACATAAATTAAAATCCATTAAGTTTTGTCATAGTTATACAGATTTAAAAACGACAATGTTGCCTAAAACGTCAAAAACTTCAACCCCCTCTACGCTTTACAAATTTTTTTTTTCTTGAGTTAATATTTTAGGGATTTATTACTTTCATGCAGGACAACAATTTACCAAAGTATCAACCCAATCCCAGAACTTTCACTTTTTAGGCTGGGGCGATTGAAAAAGAATACCTCATATATGACCTGGACAGTGAAAAGTGGGCTTACGTGTGAAAAAATCGATTTCTTATTGATTGGTGATTCTGATAGAGAAAATTTTTTCCTATAAGAATCACCAATCCATAAAAAATCGATTTTTTTGCTCGTAAGCCTCCTTTTCACTGTCTAGCCCTGGCGGGTTTGATTTACCTAAATTCGACCCAGCTGGGGCGAATCTAAGTCGAATCTAAGTCGAATTTAGGTAATTATAAAAAAAAGCTTTAAATTGATGAAAATTTATAAAAATTAGTATTGTGAGGTTAAATGAACATTTATAGAGTTAATTTTTGTAAGAATTTTAATTATTAACGTGATAAATAATAAATAATCACTTGATATGTGCAAGTGGTAACTGTAGATTTTAACTCGTTGTCAGTTTTCATAATATTTTCAAGAAATCAGTGTAAAATGTGTGAAAAAATAATTTATATTTAATAGAAATTGCTGTTACGAACCGAAAAAATATTAATCATAAAAATTATTATTTCTTATGTCCTGGAGGCACCAAGCTGCCGAAATTAAAAAAAATTCCGTTTATTTTTATGGGATCGTGTATCCTATTTTAAAAGAAACTGCCAAATTACGTTATTCGAAAATGAATTTAGGGGATAAAACACAATAAAACAATTAAGACCCTTTTATACATTTATTTTATAAATAATCTTGGTATTCATTCATTCATTCCGTCCGGACCCCTGCTGGGTTTTCGGTGACAGAGAAAAGAACAAGTTATGGAGAGAGAAAGATATATCTTTATTTTGCAAATGAGGGTTCGCTTGACCTCCAATCTTTTAAAAAGGATTAATTAATAACTCTGAGGACCCAGGTAATAATTTCTTTCTCCCTTTATCACGTGAAAAAACTATAAAGAAAGTCTAAAACTGAATAGGTAACGCATACCTTTCTTTCTTACACCAAGGAATATAACATAAGTACTTCTTCGTTAAACATTGCGTTTCTCTATCTAGACAATTCAAAATGGCATTAGAACACTTTTTTTCAAAGACATATTAATATGTCAATTTTATATATTTTTGGACACTTTTTGGTATTACCATAAGGTATGAACTCTTTTCTACATAATGCATATATTCTATTTAAATTATATTGTGATTAAATAGAAAAATTTCAAGTTTTCGAAACTTGATACATTTTTCTTGTTTTGAAGGTTTGTGTTAAACAGTGGGACACCTAGGGTAAGTGTTGGTATTACCGTGGTTTTAAATCTAACGCAGACTTAGTCAAAACATTCTGAACAAACCTTACAAGATATTTGTATAATTTTTTTTTTTAAATTGATCTTTGACTTTATTTGTTGTAATAAAAAAATTGAGTATGTCGTAGAGCGTATATTTTATTAAATAATAAATATTTTAAAAAGTGGTGCGAGTGCAGGTATTTCCGTGGTGCTAAAAGCTTCAGGATCGAAATAGCGTGTGCCAAATACCGTGGATGATCCAGTTGCCGTGTGCCTAATACCGTGAAAATTTTAACTTGTAGATTTTAAAAACGATTGGATGAAATGAAGCATGGGTATTTAAAACAATTGTTTATTAATTTAATAAAATATCTTTTGATATTTTCATATATTTAATCAGGTACTAATAATAATAATCACAGAATACGTTATAAATCTATTAACAACTTCCAAATTTTTTAACGTAATTAATTTCAAATGTTAACAAGAATTATTATTTAAATAAAAGTATTTAGTACCTAATAACATTTAATTAAATATTTTTTATAAAAATAGTAATTATTAAAATAACAATAGTATTTGGTCTAAGCTATTTTGAAATTCTTTTTTAATTTACTCGTTTTTCCTTTAATTCTCCTTCTTTTTGTAAAAGTTCATCTATTTTAAATTTAATTTCTGCTTCCTCCTGAATTTGTCGTAAAGCCTGTTGTTTAGCGGTTTCTTGGGCCTCCATTTCCTTAATAATTTTTCAACAGTTGATCTTTTGTTACTGGGAATCCTCTCTCGGTGCAGTGGAAAATCCACTTAACCAGATTATTTTCTTCCTCAAAACTATGAACGGTGGCTGGGCCCGGATTTTTCTCGGCATATTTGCAGTTTTTTTTATCTCGTAATGTGGATTCCGGAATGTTGTATTTTCTTGCTATTTCAGAAATGGTAGCACCTTTGGAAATTTCTTCGACGGCAATTTTTATATGTTCCTTTTTGTATAGGAATCGTTTTTTTGACTTTGAAGTTACTTTATTCGTTGATTTCTTTTTGGCTTTTGCCATATCTTCGTTTGCTTTGATATTCACAATAATAACTTGAAAAAAGTTTGTCACTCTTCACATTATTTATTATGACAACATCGGTTAAACCAGGTTAGGTATATCTGACTTATAGGTTGAGTAGGCAGCCATTTTGGACTAAACAAGTCCCTCGGTATTTGGCGCGCAAGTTCAAAACGTTAACCAATTACCGTGTCGATAAAATAAAAATAAGTCGAATCATCATTTACCACGAAGTTTTAATTTAAGAAATACATTATTTAATCGAAAATATAAAAATTAACAAGTTTTAAAGTATAAATAGTAAAAAAAGCGATTTATATAATACTTTATTTTTGCATTGCAATGAGCATTTTATCAAACTTTACGCTCCTAAGAAATTTAAAATTTTTTGAAGCGATAAACAAAAGTTAAATAACTATAATTTTTTGTTTATTAAACACATACAATATGAAAGTAACTATCTGAATTTTTTGGGTTAACAAATTGGGACGTAAATGATAAAATTTGCCAGAAATAGCGAAACCACGGTAACTCATGCACTCACGGTAATACCCACACTTACCCTATTATTAAATAATGAATAATTGTTTCAATAATAATATTCTGCTTCATACTTTGAAAATATATATGCTTTTCATTAAATAACGTTAACAAATGTTGCAAAATACTCACAATTTAATAATATTTTACATTTTTATAATACTATGTCAAGTTTCATATAAAAAATTGCTATTATTTTTTTTACGTTTACAGTACTGCTGATCATACGTCATAATTTGGTCATAACCTAAAAACAATTTGGAGGAAAATTTGAATAGTCGTTCTCTTATCAAGTGTTATTTTTCAAATGTTGCCGAACAATAATTGTAATAATTATAAATTTTGAATTTTTTAATGTTCTTTAGCATAAAACATCACATTTTTAGTCGCTGTGTAAGTATAAATGTGCATGCGTATAGCTGACACAACTTACAATTAGTGTTGCCAAAATCCACGTTTCATAAACTTAAATTTTTGCCTGTCCCAGTGTTTAATGTCCCACTGTTTAAATTGAACAATCGCAAGAAATTATTTAAATAAAAATTGTTTGTAAAATTTTAAAATATTTTAAATTATTAATTTACACTTTTTTTTAAAACTGTCCTTTCTATATAAAAATCAGCATTTTATTTCAACTCGATTTCAAGAAAAAATTTACTCCGTAACGTCAAAAACGTTTTTTTTCAATTTTCTTTGTAAATAATGAATCAATGCGGCTAAAATTTTTGGAGATAGTGTGTTGTCATAAACATGTTTTACATTTAAATTTTGGTCGAGTTTCTTTAAGTAGTTTTTCAGAAAATTAAAGTGTCCCACTGTTTATCACTCTCCCCTACCTGTATTAGAGCCCTAGAAAATTTTAATAAAAAAATTTTAAAATTATTACCTGGCCCCTCAGAATTAATCTTCATTAACAAAGGCTCTATTGTCCAAGGATTGGTATTGTTTGTAGTAATTGTTCTAAGAGTCTAATACTGGTATATACATATTTTTTTTATTTTGAGAACAGATAGAAAGAAGAGTAAGATTTTTAGGCGAAGATATTCTTATGTTATTTTGAATCCTCTAGATAGAGAAATGCAATATTAAATGAAAATGTTTATATGTTATATTCCTTGATGTGAGAAAGAAAGATATACATTACCTCTTCAGTTTATGATTTTTATCTTTATATTTCCATGTGACAATACACGAAAAAAATTTCGAGACGTCAGACGTGCCTATGTCAATTTAAACCTACAGTACATTTACTC